ATAAAGCATACCTGGTTCGCCGACTTGTGAAGCTTGAATACAAAGACGACATGAGCATGATTGAACACCTGAACACTTACAAAGGTATTGTGAATCAGTTGTCAAAGGCTGACATGAAAATCGATGAAGAATTGCAGGCATTGTTGCTGTTTAGCTCGCTGCCAGAAAGATGGGATACTCTGGTGGTGACCCTGAATAACTCGACTCCAGATGGAAAATTGAAGATGGATGTCGTGACAGACAGCCTCCTGGGCGAAGAATCCAGGAGAAGAGAACGAGGTACTCCGAGCACGTCTGAGGCCAACGTTGCTGAAAACAAAGGGAAATCCGACTCCCGGGGTAGAAGCAAAAACCGGGGTCGAGATCGTGATAGAAGAGGAAAGTCCAGAGGTCGATCAAAGCCGAAATATGAGTTGAAGTGTTTTTACTGTGGAAAGACAGGCCATAAGAAGCCAGACTGCTGGACCCTGCAGAATGATGAAAAGAACGGCTTTGTGAAGCCGGATCAGATTGTTCCCAAGAAGAGGGAAGACAAGAGCACCACTGCGGTGGCTGCCAACCCGGAGGCCGAGATATTCCTCCTTGGTGAGGATAATTATTTGAATGTTGCATATGATGACTGCACCTGGATTGTTGACTCTGGTGCCTCCTTCCACCTTACTCCACACAAAGGTTTTTTCTCCTTTTATCGAGGTGGTGATTTTGGAGTCGTGAAGATGGGAAATCAAGTGACCAGCAAGATTGTTGGTGTCGGTGATGTAACTCTGACCACAGATGTCGGAAGCCGACTTGTGTTGAAAGATGTAAGGCATGTTCCTGACATGCGTTTGAACCTAATCTCGGTAGGAAAGCTTAACGATGCTGGGTTAGTGAACTACTTCGGTAGTGTGAGATGGAAGCTGGCCAAGGGAAAATTGGTCGTGGCCCGAGGTAAGAAAGAAGGCTCCTTGTACGTGATGCAAGGAAAGATCAATGGCGGAGAAGCCAATTCTGTTCGAGATGAACCTAGCTTGGAGCTATGGCACAAGCGCCTCGGCCACATGAGCGAGAAAGGGCTACAGATCCTGAACAAGAAAGGATTACTGACCGGATTGAAAGGCCAAGCGTTGGAGAGTTGCACACATTGCCTAGCTGGAAAGCAGCGCCGTGTTTCTTTTGTGAGACCGGATCAACCAAGACGACGTAGGTATATTCTTGACCTCGTCCATACTGATGTCTGCTCCATGTCGGAAAGATCCCTTGGAGGAGCTCAGTACTTTGTTTCATTTATTGATGACCATTCCCGCAAAGTGTGGGTATATTTGTTGAAATCTAAAGACCAGGTACTTCAATCCTTTAAGGAATTCCATGTTATGGTTGAAAGGGAGACTGGCAAGAAATTGAAGGTGGTCCGATCTGATAATGGTGGTGAGTATTGCGGCCCATTTGATGCATAATGCAGAGCGGTCGGGATTCGACTTGAGAAGACGCCTCCCAAGACACCTCAGCTGAATGGACTAGCTGAGCGGATGAACAGAATTATTGAAGAGAAGGTCCGAAGCATGTTATCCAATGCCGGGTTACCGAAATCATTCTGGGGAGAAGCCGTCAAAACCGCTGTTGACTTGATCAACCTCTCACCATCACGACCACTTGAAGGAGAAATTCCAGAAAAAGTCTGGACAGGTCGAAAAGCGGCCTATAATCAATTGAAAGTGTTTGGATGCCGAGCTTTTGTGCATATCCCTAAAGATGAAAGGGCCAAACTTGATGCAAAGACTAAAGAATGCATTTATCTTGGTTCGCCGAGACGTGAGTTCGGGTTCCGACTTTGGGATCCAATCAATAAGAAGATCGTGAGAAGCCGAGATGTGATCTTTCATGAGCATGAGAACATTCATGACATCTCGAAGCCTAAAGTCCAGGTTACTGTCAGACGTGAAGAACCCATCCCTCCTGTCCGAGCTGAAGCAGGGGAAGAAAATCAAGAAAATGAAGAAAATGATGATCAGCAACAAGCTGAAGATGACTAAGACATTGAGGTTCGAGTTGATGATGAGATCCGGGATGAGAATGATGAACCGGATTCTCAAGCTGAAGAACAGCCGAGATATCCAACTCGAGAAAGAAGACCCTCTACAAGATACCCATCTGATGAATACACCGTTGTAGCTGAAGACGGTGAGCCTCAGAGTTATGATGAGGCTGTGACGAGCTCAGAGAAAGAAGAATGGGAAAAGGCAATGCAAGACGAGATGAAGTCTCTGCACGAGAATCAGACCTATGAGCTGACCGAGTTGCCTAAAGGAAGACGAGCTCTGAAAAACAAATGGGTTTACAAGATTAAGAATGAAGAGAACGGGCAAAAGCCGAGATACAAAGCCCGGATTGTAGTGAAAGGCTGCAATTAGAAGAAAGGAGTAGACTTTGAGGAGATTTTTTCTCCTGTGATGAAAATGACCTCGGTCCAAACCGTGTTAGCCATGGCGGCTTCGATGGACCTTGAGGTAGAACAAATGGACGTGAAGACGGCATTTCTTCACGGTGATTTAGAAGAAGAAATATATATGGAGCAACCTGAAGGATTCCAAGCTCCAGACCAAGAAGACATGGTATGTCGGTTGAAGAAGAGTCTCTATGGCTTGAAGCAAGCACCTCGGCAGTGGTACAAGAAATTTGAATCATTCATGACTGATCATAAGTTTGAAAAGACAGAAGTCGACCACTGCGTATTTGTGAAAATGTATGAGGCTGGAGATTTTCTGATTTTGTTGTTATATGTTGACGACATTCTTATTGTAGGGAAAGACAAATCGAGGATAGCCGCCCTGAAAAAGGCGTTGAGCTCGTCCTTCGCAATGAAGGACCTCGGCCCTGCAAAGCAGATTCTCGGAATCAAGATCATCCGAGATAGACAGAAGAAGCTACTGTGGCTGAGTCAAGAGAAATATATTGAGAAGATTCTGAAGAGATTTAGCATGGACAAAGCCAAAACAGCGAACACCCCCCTAGCCGGACATATAAAGTTGAACCAGAAGCAATGTCCGAGATCTGATGAAGACAAAGATGAGATGATGAAGGTCCCTTACCAATCCGCCGTCGGAAGCTTGATGTATGCAAAGGTTTGCACTAGACCCGACTTGGCGTATGCTGTTGGAATGGTAAGCTGGTATTTGTCAAACCCCGGCAAAGAGCACTGGGAAGCAGTGAAGTGGATCTTCAAGTACCTCCAAGGTACAATCGACTTATGTCTCCGATTTGGAGAAGGCAAAGCCGAGTTGCAAGGCTACTCGGATTCTGATTTAGGGGGAGACGCCGACTCGAGGAAGTCGACTACAGGATATTTGATGAGATTTGCCGGAGGAGCTGTCTCTTGGCAATCAAGACTTCAGAAATGTGTTGCACTATCTACAACTGAGGCTGAGTACATTGCCACTACTGAGGCAAGCAAAGAAATGCTGTGGATGAAGAAGTTCCTCATGGAACTCGACCATGATCAAGACAAGTACGAGCTGGGTTGTGACAATCAAAGCGCAATCCATCTTGCAAAGAATTCAACCTATCACTCCCGCACTAAGCATATTGATGTGAGGTATCACTGGATCCGGGATGTGGCGGAAGGTGGAGAGCTCGAACTCGTCAAGGTGCACACAGACCAAAATTGGTCCGACATGATGACAAAGCCGGTTCCAGCAAGAAAATTTGAAGACTGCTGTGAAGGAGCCGGGTTGATGCTGAAGCCGACGCATTGAAGTCGGAGGGGGAGATTTGTTGGGCTTCCTCCTTCAATGCTAAGCCCAAGCCCATTTGAGGGGTTTCCTAAAAACCCTAACCCTAATTTCCACCTCCTCTATATATACTTATTAGTTGTGGGTGGAGGCTAGGTCAGATTTGAGAGAACAAATTTGAGAGAAAAATTATTTGATTGTTTGAGTAAAGCTTTATGCTTTGCATTTGAGAGATCTCTAGAGAAAGTTTGAGTGAAACATCTCTAGGGTAGTTTGATTATCACCATTGTTGGAGAGATTGAGTTAACCACCACATTGGTGTATTTGATTCTTTGTAACCATTATTTTCATAGTGGATTTTTGATCTGGACTAGGTCCCGTGGGTTTTTACTTCTTCATTGAAGAAGGTTTTCTCACGTTAAATCTGGTTGTGTTCTTCTTCTCTCTCTCCTGTTTTCATTTTTAATTTTTCCGCTGCGCTGCCTGACCTGGTGAAGTTCAAGCCGAGGTATTGCCGAGATCCGAGATCAGGATCTTGTTGATTGACTTCCGCACAAAAGCTGCTTAGCCGAGCTTGAGGGAACCGAGTTTTCCCAACACGAAATACTCATAATTAATTAATATACAAAATATTATACGGAAAAAATAAATAATGTTGATATTTTAAAATTTTGAAAAATATTTAATACTTTTTATCTTAAATAATTTTTTCGATACTCTTGTTAATGCAATCACCAACAACAATTGCGATCGTCTGCAGTTCAGATATAGAACCGTGTACCATGCAGTTTTAAATTGTGTGGCCCAAAATATTTAAAATTGAGTTATAATTATTTTTTCTTAACTATAAAACACATAATTTTAAAGGTGAACAAGTGAAGATGCTGTATATTTTATTTTATTTTTAACTTTTTGTGAAAATTGTTAGACGATCCAAAACCATTGCCAACCAAAGTTAAAATAAGACCAACCGAAAGACATAACAACAAAGGTGGTGGATCTAACCGTCTGAAATGTTAGCGCACTTTTTGGTTTTTCTCTCTCATCATCAGATCAACGAACCATCATGTAATTTTCTTTTATCAAAACCACCACCCCCACCCCCACAACCCATTCAAGGCCTTTTTGGCCCCTCCCTCTCTCTCTCTGTTGTTGCATTGTAGATTCCGTTTTCTTGCGCAAGAGGGGTTGTGGTTGTGGAAGAGAATGCAAGCCAATTGATTCTTTTCATTCAAAGCAGAGAGGGTGAAACAGGAAATAAGGGTCTTGTCTTAATTTGTCTAAGGTTGAAAAATGGTGTTGGTTGATGAAAAGAACAGGGATAGGGTGGCTAAGAAGGAGGTGGTGGAGCTTCCACAAAATGATCAAGCTGTAACTGTGGCATTTCATGGGGAGGAACTGAACGAGGATGTACCTCTTGCCCACTTGTCTAAGAAGTCTCCTTTAACCATGGTTTTCCTTTCTCTCTTCTCTTTCTATATTCCCTCAAATTTCACAAAATGTGTCAAAGTTTGCATTTTTATGTATCTTCAATTTTTATTATTTTCTTGGCTTTTTATAGTTTTATGACCAGGATAATGCCAGGACCAAGCTAACATGAGATTCCTTTGGTTCTGGCGCTTCTTTTTGGGTCTCCTTTTTCCGAGTTAATAATGATGGTTTGTGGCTATGTTGCATTTTTTGCAGGATAAACAAAACAAGGCGGTGGAGAATAAAAACAAGCTCTTGAACAGTCAAATGAAGCAAGTAAGATTTTGATGGTTTTTTTTTTTTTTTTTTTCTTGCTGTTGGATTTGATGATGAACTTGTAAGATACGCTTTCTTTAAATTCTTGTAATTTTCCTGCCCTTGATAGTTTGTGGTGATAGCAAAATGGGGAAAGCTCTCTAAACAGTAAACACTAAGCCAAGAATTTTGACAAGTAAAATGGTTTTTGTTGCCTGTAATGGAGTGAGTGAGTTTGTATTAGAAGACACTATAGATGACAAACCTTAAGTTATGATGATGCATGGGAAAATACTAGAGAAGTATTCTTGCTGTCTTCAGGCTATTGTGATGGAAAAAAAACTCGAAATGTTAACAGAAAATAATAATCTAAATATGTTATTATCACAGGGATAGTTTCTCTTTAGACCTAAGTTTTGACATTACTGAAGTGTTCTGTTTGATTCTAAATCAATCACTCTTCACTGAGTGCGCAACCTGCTCCTACGATATATTTTCCTTGGCACTCCTATTTTTCCTGATTTTTTCAAGTGCTCAACTAACCCTAACTATTTAACACATTACTCCGCACAATTATTAGACACTTTTTAATCTTATTTTCTGGCTGAGCTCCAATGTTTTTTTGAAGTGACCAATTTGTTGTACTTTACAAGAATAACCATATGAATTAAATCGCACAATTCATTGTAAACTAAAGTACAAGTGTTTGGCAATTCTACAAATGCTTCTACAGGCAACATCTGGTGAGGCACAGAAGTTTGCAAGGTTAGTAGATTATGTTAAGTGTTACTTAGTTAATAAATCCCTCCTCTTTTTTAAGTAACTAATGGTTAATTTGGGACATGGTCTTTGCTTGCAGCTCCATTAAGGTTGCAACAGATGGAACATCCTCTCACGGTGCAGCATTGATTCGAGCAGAGGAGATGCAGTCAAATTTGGAATCGGAATTCCCTAGTTTTGTGAAGTCCTTAGTCAGATCACATGTTGCTAGTTGTTTTTGGATGGTAATCATTTTAATAGACCGAAGTAAAAATGTTTCATTTAAGAAACCAAGTTGCATTATTTTTTAGAGCCATGTCTTCTAATTTCTTTTTATAGGGGCTGCCTGTAGCGTTCTGTAGAAGACACTTACCGGATAAGGATACAACAATCACTTTGGAAGATGAATCTGGTAAAGAATACAAAACGAAATACATTGCTTGTAAGACAGGATTGAGTGCTGGTTGGAGACAGTTTTCTGCTGTGCACAAATTGCAGGAGGGTGATGTGGTGGTCTTCCAATTAGTTGAACCTACCAAATTTAAGGTAGTGGTTTGGAATTTTTTTATTTGAATGTTCTTTTGTTAGTTCTAATGGTAATTCTTTTTCATTGACAATATAAGGACTATGTTGCAAAGAAAAAAGGTTAACAATAGCATGTATGTCACTGTTCACTAACGCTTCTGTAGTATGCTTACTTTCTGTTTTGTTGCATTCATGTCACTATAATAGATACTAATCATAATTGCAAATCTAAAATTACTGATAATTGATCATATTATTATTGATCAAATACTAATCCTGAAATGAGGGAGGTTAATGTTATTGACGAGATATTTACTTTGGGTTCTAAAGATTATATTCAGATAATGAAAGACAATGAACTGGGGCATTAGTATATCCTTATAGTACTATTGTTATGGTTCTGAATTCCTTAAAGATGGAAATGAAAAGAAAAAATGGAAATGGAAGAAAATGGGATCTGTTTATTGATGAGAAAAGAAACAAATCAACACACAAGAGACACTTCTCTTGCCAAAGGGCACTCCCCTTCTAACTAAGCACTCTCAGCCGATATTCAGAAAATACTAAAACACACTCCAATAGTAAGAACACACCCCCTTTTTATACAAACAGAACCAATCCCCCTAACTAACTAACCATCTTCCAACTAACTGAGTATATTTTCGAAGGAATATTCTTTACCTCCTTATACAAGTCATATCAGCTATCCATCATGAGTCACAGACTGATATGCAGGGTTTGATCTCTCTTTCTCGCTTGCCCTCTTTAGTTATGGTTCAAGGGTAGATCCAAGAGTATCTTTTGCCCCATTTTACATTAAAAGTGAGTCAGGACTTAATGCAGATGGAGGTTATCAATGCATAGGAACAAAAAATTTCCGGAAGGGATCTTTGTCAAAATAGGAAAAATATAAGCTATCCCAAAGCAAGAGATGTGAGGTTAAGTAGGTGGTGATCCATGCAATTTGATTAACCTCCTGCAAATGTTTGGGAGCCTTTGGTGCTTGCAAGACTAGTAATTTACAAAAGTGTGAAAAGGCAGTGATTTGGTATGCCTCTGGGACTTTTATTTCTATTGTTCTTATGACCTTGACAAGGAGGAGTTTGTGGACAGACAGCAAATTGTTATCTTCTAGTGACTGGTGTGCTTCTGTCTGTCTTATTCTTATGATTTTACGGAGCTAACACTTGTATCTAAAGCAAACTTTAGGAAGTCATATGGTGGCGCAATGATGACACTTAATTGCCATCAAGCAAAGTTGGAACTGCTAAAATGGGTATCATGCCCTGATTGTGAAGGCCATTCCTCTGGTCCTCTGTTAAAGAATGTTCTGGGTCCATGATTATGCCCAAGAAATGTTTTTCTTTAAAGAATGATTTCTCTCTCTTTCTCTCTATAGACTCACCACTTATTGATATGCTTCTTTTTCAGGTTTGTATAATAAGAGCTAATAATTCGAGGGAACTAGATGGGGCCCTTTCCCTTCTGAATCTAGACAGTAACATAAAACAAAAAGTGGGAGGCAAGACTTGTTTCTCTACCCTTTTAGTTTCTTATATTGTATCAATCATGAATCAACAAGGATTTATGCATTCTTGGTGTAGTATACTAACATTCTTTGTTTTACTCTTTCATGTTCTCAGGCAAAGATAATGCAAATACTAATTCAGTAGCATGTAATAGCTCAAAGAGAAAACATGGTAAACCTGTCCCTCAAGACATCCAAAAGAAAAAGAAAACCGGTGTGCCAAGATTAGGGCCTACGCCTAGGCAGTCTGCAGAACAATCAGAAAATGATAGCGAGGAAGCTCTCTCAGAAGTACTGGAGGGCTTTAAAATGCTTGAATTCAAAAATGTAAAACGTTTTGAAGATTTTAGCATCATAGTCGATGGAATGCTAATAGATGCTGAACTCTCAACTGAAGTTCGAAACAAGTACTACAAGCTCTGCTACAGTCAGCATGCTTTTCTTCATGACAATCTCATCAAGGGCTTGAACTATAAGCTGATTGCTGGAATTATATCTGAAACTGTCAACATTGCTGATGCCATAAAAATTAGTGTGATATCTACCCCACGTGTTGAATTTGCTAGTTGGGATAAAACTTTGCTTGCTTTTGAGCATTTGGGCATGAATGTTGAATTTTTAAGAATAAGATTGCGCCGGCTTGTAAGCATTGCTTATGAAACAGATGATGCCTCAGAGACCAAAAGATACTTGGCATATAGAAGTGAACATAGTCGAGCTGATGATGAAATAAAGAACATGGAAACTAAGCTTGAAGAATTGAAGGGAGCCTGTAATGGTTTTGGTGCTTATCTTGAGAGCTTGAGGTGCAAAGCAGAAAGCTATCAGCTCAAGTTTCAGAAAGAGGTCACTTCTCTTTGGTGAAAATTTCTCTCTGTGAGAATGTACGTATCTATGTATGTATATTGACTCGTGTGTTTCTTGGTTAAACATAAGATATGCAACTTAAAACTGGCTAGAAAATGTGCTTCAACTCAGATATGTACATCCTGTATATGAGCAGTGATATGTGTGGCAATTAGCATAGCCATTAATTTTTGTATGGTTGGTTAAAGGTCATTCTACTTGGGCTTAGCCTCTCCCAAGAATAAGTAATATTATAATGAAACATTTGGAACAGAACACAACTCTAAAGGTAAGAATGTGCTTACATTTGGTAAAAGTTTTCACTTCACTTCAACAAACTCAATTAAATTCAGGTCATGATGTTTCTCAACTATTTATCGAATTCTAGTGACGGGGAGATTGCATTTCTATGTTTAAACATTGGTGCATAAAAGGGGTTGTCTTTAAAGTCTGAACTGTTTTATATTAAAATCAATGTATTGCTTCTGGTCATAGTATTTTTATACATCGAGAGTGGCTCCTATGATTTTATAATTTGGAGAATTTTTTGTACCACTTGTGGCATGAGGGCCAAGGCCTAGGTGGAAAAATTGCGGGTGTATAGATTAGTTTAACAGTGTAAAATAATGACTGGCTAGTGACACAACAGGTTAACTTGGTGAATCTTAGAGTTAGACATGTTAGCCATGAACCTGTTTTCTGGAGTACTTCGTTTGCTGACACTGCAGATACGCCACTTTCTGGTGATTAGGGCTACGTAAGATTGTAAGTAAGCCATGAATTTTGAGGACAAACCCCAAATATAATTATTTCCAATGGGTCAAAATGATATTACACAAAGAAACATTGCAAATTTGCAACGGTTAAAATAAAACTGGACTTTGCTTTTATTATCGCGTGTCAAAGTTTGCTTTGGTTTTTTAGTTATGGCCCAACCAAAGACTTAACCTGTTAATTTTACATTCATATGGGTTGGTTTCCTATTATCCCAAAGATAAAAGTATTGTTGACGTTAATATTGATTCATTTACGGGGTTTAGTGTTTGTCATTTTAAATGATATAAATTATGTCATTTTAGAAGAGAGAGACAGACACAAAAAAAGAAAATCATGGGAGAGAGAAAGTGTGAGGTTATTTTTTAATTTAAAATTTAAATAATTTTTTTTTTCTATGTCTGTCTCTCTCTTAAAAGGACAGAGTGTTATGTCATTTAAAATGATAAACACTTTTCTCTTCATTTATCTACTAATAATTTTCTTATTTACACCTTAAATTGTTGGGGAACAAAAAGAGGAAAAAACTCAACTGAATTCACCACGAGGAACATAGTAGCCTTTCTATTACATAGCCCATGGTGGCTTTTACGGTGCAGCATATTGTGTAAGGTGAACGTGGAGTATGATTCATATTTCGTATTTAAATTATGATTCTTGTTAGCATGTTATTATTATGGGCTGACTTATTGTATTTTTTGTTTCTTAGTAATTTAGATTTGGACCTATGAATAGTCACTGTTAGAATTTTTAACGAATATCAATAAGGAGAATATAATACATATTGTCAGACATAACTCATATTGAATGAATAAGAGTGAATCGTTGTTTCACTTTTCTTCCTTTTCTCTTTTCAATTTGCATTTGTGTTGTGTGATTGTGCCGATTCCAACAAAGTGTATGGGTGTTTCCTTAATTTTGGTATAAGTAAGATTATTCAATTTTAAATAATGTCCATTGTTATATTTAATTATCCATTGTTATATTTAATTATAGTCCTACATTTATTTAAATTTATGTCTTAGTCCTTCATGAAATTATGACCAAGCTAACACACATACAACCCCATCAACATTGCCACCATGATTAGGTGCACGTGGACCGTAAACGTTGCTCATGGCTCATAGGTTTTATCTTAAGAATTGGGAACAGGGTAGTAAGACCCAAAAGCACTAACTCAACTGGGGATGGCTACTATTCTGCTGCTAGTGGACATGACAAATGACTCTTTTTGTTGGGATTGGGCTTTGTCTTCCTCTTTCTTTGTCGTACTTAAAAATAATTTATTTATTTTTTAATCCAGTTAACCATGCACTTCTAGTACACAGAAGTGCAAAAAAAAAAAAAAAAAAAAAAATGTTATCAAAAAAAAAAAAAAAAAAAAGTCACAAAAACTAAGTTCGGGAAGTTATGGTGAATTGGATGAAAATTTTGGTTAAGGGTTATGGCAACACTCATCGTAGGTAAATAAAATATAGGTACATAGCAAGGAAAAAGTAGTTGGATCACTGGATGCCACACAATAAGGTTTGACAAGGCCAATGTCATCATGTAAGAAGAAAAATTCACAATCCCCCCTATCACATAATATTCAAGAATTCAAGATAAAAATTCAATGAATAGGCCTTTCAAAATTCAATCTTTATATTGAAGAAAAATTAGTAATATTTATGTTATCAAAAAAAAAAAAATTAGTAATATTTACTATAAATAAAATAAAAAATAAGAAAAGATAAATCTTTCTCTCCAAGGGATCTGAAGATGATAGACGAGGAAGGATAACATAACATAGAAGTCCAAAGCCGAGAGTGAAATAGGATTAGGAAGAACTGACACTAAAATGTGAAGGTAGAAGACCTGATTTTTTGTCCTTTTCATTCAACTGCAAATAATTTTTACAATAAACAGTCAAATCCTAATTCCTAGAGGGATCAATAGAAATAAGAGAATCAAAGTTGACAAGCAAAAACCTAAAACATAAATTCACTTCCTTGATTTATCCGAACCCGCTGAAGTTGAGAAAAAACACAAAAAAGATGCGGGAAAAAAGTTAAAAAAGAAAATGAGCCTATCGTTCTCTAAAGTGGAAGAAAACAAGATGGTCAAAAAAAATTTGGCCCATTCCTCTACAAATTCAATACCTTCTTCAGCCACAACTCTACATCTCAATCTCAACATCCATGCAACTTGACCCTCCTTCATCCTGTAACATACCCAAATAAAAAAAGACGCATAATTAATTATAATCAATCAAAAAAAAAGAAAGAATAAGACAAGCATCAAGTGATTTAAAAAATATGAAAATAAAATAAAATCAAAACTTAACCTGTGAAGTCATATGAAGCCTAGCTGTCTCATTGACCAACCCTGACCTTCTTGCTTCAACTGAAGAACCTTCAATCTTGTCAACCTTTTTAGAACCAACGTGACTTTTTCTGAGACCCAGAAACCCTTTCCACTTTGTGGAAGACCCTTTAGGTGGCCTTAGGGAAAAACCTTGGTACTCATCATCATCACCTACGAGGAGCTCTTCCCTGAGAGTGGTGGTGGCTCTCTGAACCTGGTTGATGCAGTTATCCTTGAAGGGTAACAACCTTCCCTTGAAGAAAAGCTCATCAGCACTCATCATGGAGTGGTTTGTGGTAGAAAACTCGAAGTCTGAGGACACTGGTGCTTCTGATCTGGAACTTCGTTCTTGCTTTGTGGCTTGCTGAACATCCACAAAATCGTTTGAGAAAGAGATTCTGGGACTCATTGGAACACAGTGATGATGACTATTATTATGATTATTATGATGATGATGATGATGACCCTTGTGCTCGGAGTTGTACATGTCTAAGCATGCCATGAGCTTTCAGAACAACATGGAAATTATAAGGAAAAATAAAAAATGGTTTTTGTGAGGAGCAGAAACAAGAACCTATTAAATTCTACTTGGGACCCTCCCTCCCTCCCTCACACACTGTTACACCCCACACTCCGTAGTTCTTTGTATTTATACATATCAACTCAGGGTTTCATTTTTTATTTGTATTCCTTTCATCCTTCTCTAAATATTATAGGAGGGCAACATCTTCTTACATTGGTATAAAAAAATAAATATTATACTCAATCTTATTCGTTCATTTTCGTATATATGATAATTATAATTTATTAAAAATTAATAATTAATTAATAAAAATATCCCAATCAATTATTGTCATTTAATAGACAAAAATTATTGAAAATTAATAATTAATTAACAAAAATATTTTAATCAATTATTGTCATTAGATAGATGTAAACTAATAACTAAAGTTAAATATAAAATTTATTATTCTTATATTAATATAAATTGATTTGGTCTCTTTATATATATATTTACTTAATTTAAATCAAGATTAATTTAAAGTTACTTCTTCTATTTTGTCATGACTTGCTATTTTGGAATTTAATGATGGTTAATCTTCAAGATATATATGTAGTGTCTCATGACTTGCACAGCTCGCCCCTTGGACTAGAGTGAAGTAGTGAACCCGCTGAAACTGCCAGGAAAGGCCATTTTCTTTTCTTTCTTTTACCCTACGGATAACTGATGCAAAGTTTGCCTTTTTAGGCCAATCCATTCTGCTTCATGTTCATTAAATGATAAACAAAGTTTTGGGAAGATTCTATGAACTTGCACTTTTTACCATGTCATCTCAACATCCAATGCATAAGCAAATATTTTTTATTATTATTGTTATTATTATTTTTTACATGAACAATTTGGATAATATAATTCCTATGGTTCAATGGTTTTATTGGCGAGTTGGTGGCGGTTTATGCCTGAACAAATATTTTTAACATGTCTATTGTTCTCTTCGTATCAGCTGATCATAATAGGGAGGTGGAAAACTAATCTTTCTTAAAGTTTGGTAGGGAAAGATTTTATTCGATTCAAATCAAACTAATAGAGTAATAAATGAACTGATAAATGAGTCTTTCTGAAAAAAAAAAAAAAAAAAAAAAAAAAAAAAGCAGTTAAAATTGTCATAGCACAAAAGAAAAGAGGGTAGAGATTGAATGGTCAAAAATTAAATGTGTGTGTTAAAAGTGAAAGGTCAAGTAGGCAGGTTTTAGAGATGGTAAGTTGGAAACAGTTACCATTTGTGGTAAAGAAAGCAACAGCAGTGACATTTAAAGGAATGAGGTACTGGGTTGTAAAAGGTTAAATGTTTTGAGCTAAGTTTTAAGGCCTCACAGCACAGTGACACAGAGTCACAGTGGCACAGTTACAGCTAGCATGCATGGACAGCTATGCTAATTGACCAAGCTTTGACTCCAAAATTAACGAGGCACGTAATGAGCTGGCGCTACTGACAAATCAAAGTGACCACGTGACCCGGGATTGCCTTTCAATTTGATAGGAAATTTTATTCTAACTTAAAAGGAAATTAAATTGAATATGTGGCACATAATGTTAGCAGTTTGCACTGAATTTACTGATAAAAGAAAAATTGAAAAGATGGATTAATAAATTTGCTAATTGGAGCCACTAACATGGTTAAGTTAAAGTTCAAGTCATGTATATTGTCCACATAAAAAATGGTGTGCTCTCATTAACTGGTCATAACTCATAATGAGGCCTTTGAATCTGTTTCACTGTTCCAATTGACTCCCTCCTCACGTGGCCTCGCGCATAACCCTTCACTTCCTAAGCTAGACAACTATGGCCTTAACCAACTCATACTAATGTTTGTATCTTTATAATGTAAAGTTTCCCTGGGAGCGACTAAGTGGCTTTGTACCCCACCTTGTGTTTTTGCCAATCATAGGTAGGAAAAAATTGCAGCCTCCACAAATCAATTTATTTTTAATCATACATTGTTACTACTAATTATTTGCAATTGTGTAACTTGACCTGTGATTTCATAGTCTTGGTCCTCTTGGACCATTGTTTATAACTACTCGAAGAACAAGAAAGCCTAGTAACACGCAGGGAAGGATTAGGGTTTTTAACCAATTCAAACCGTGGTAATCAAATCAAAAAATTGATAATCGAAAAATAAAAAACTGAAAAAAAAAATTAACATATTTTAATTGGATTTGATCGGTTTTTTGATTTGGTTGGTGAAGACCGATCCAATATATTATATAATTATTATTTTTGAAAGATGATGGCTTAGATTCTTTTTTTTTGTAAACTTAGATTTTGAATGTTATTGATAGCAAAATATTTTGTTGTAGTTTTTTTATTGTCTATTAATCTATTTTAACTTTCTATGAGTTTTAAAATTTATTTTAGTTTGAAAACTTGAATTTTTCAGTAGTATATAATTTTGTATAATTTTATTTTGATATAATTAATGATTTGTTAGGAATGAAATTTTAAGCTTTTCCAAAAACACTGAAACTGATTCAATATAGAAGGACTAGATAGACGGTGGCAGGGTTCAAAAATATTCTTAACTTGAAGCTGAAGGACATGGTTGTCACTCACGTGGTTGAGTCCTTTCCAAGTGGCTAGCCTAATGAGGTTATGACACGTGGTCGATTCCCACAAATGATGGCCTTTGAACATGCTTCAGTCAAACACTATCAGCAAATTCTTGTAGAGTAAAAGGCCGTTGGAATTGGCCTGAGTAGATGCATCCAGGTCTTGGTCTCCCATCCTGTTAACAATAACTTGCATCTTATTGGCTGTGATACTATCCAAAGCTAAGTTAAAATTTCATATTAGCACTTGTATTTAATGTTAGTGCTCATTTTCCAATGTCAGATCAGAAGAGAAATGAGCTAGTTAATTCTCTAACTTCATTGTTTGGCTGCAGTGATAATTGAGACTAATTTGAGGAAGGGAGAAAAAACTTACCCAATTTTATAGAGTGTTTCTTCTCTTTCTCTTTCTCTCCTGGAGAGGGGTGATTTCCTTCCTTTGTTTAACCAATTAGGCAATTACTCTTAATTGCAAGATAATGTAGCCAAGTGCAAATTAAACTCGCAACTGGAAAAAAGTTGTATAAATATTATACAAATGTCTATGATCCTTCTAAGAAGTTTCCTTATAGAAATCTAACTTTTTTTGGGAAAATCTATATCTTCCAAAAGTCTTCAAGCTGTGGAGAGCCTCTTTCTGTCTTTCAGCTATCATTTCCAAGTCAAGCTTCCTGAATCTTTTGATTAATTGTCATCACTTTTGGCTTGCACCACTTAATTGCATGCCACAAATTAGGTTCTTCTCTGATTCTCTCACTTTGTGTTCCACACATAAGGCTCACAACGAGTTTCTTTTTAGTCACAAAACACAATCTCCATCATGAATTGCAGAGCATGAACTGGGCTAACTCTTGTTCCTTTTATACATTAGTCACTGATAATACAAAAATCCATCCTGTCCTGTTCCTTAAAAATCACAAATGTTGGTCATATTAGTTGGACTAATATATCCGGTGCTTAAGGACTACTATGACTAACATTTATGGTTATCAAGAAGTTGGGTGAAATTTTTATAATCTTATGAACTAACGTTTCTGCCATCAAGTTTGTCTATAATGGATTTGGAGTTTTCTCTTATTTTCTTCTCTTTCACTTTCCTTCTCTCAGTTATAATTGTGAGATTGACCCTACCCTCAAAATCCCTACAACAAGAGGTGGGTGTTTGTTAACCTGAAGTTCACAGGAAACCTGGGGCTGAATCCAGTTATTTGCAATTTGGCATAGTCTCAAATTTACTATTGCCATTTTTTTTTATTTTTTTTTTGAGTTACTCAACCCTAATTACCTCTTTGAGGCGAGTTAGCTCCCTCCGGTATCCCCACAAGCTTCGACTCTTTGAGCCGGCTATGGGACTAATCCGGAGTGCGGGGGTCAGTGATGGCTAAAGGTTCAGCCCCCTCCCCAAAAATGCATTCAGCGAGAATCGAACACATGTCCAACACCACTATTGCCATCTTCTGTCATGCCTTTCTTGCAGTGGCTCAATATTTCCCTATTTTAAAGTATTGTCACTTTCCTTGTTCAACTATATGTAAATATATCTTGCAAATATAAACTTAATAAAAGATTCTTGAATTTTTTATTTTCCTTTTGGTTGGTCCTGTTACTCCTGTCATTGTCAAATACTGCATACCTTGTGGTGCAAGGTTACTTATAAGCATAATCCAGCAGCTAAAACAAGTCCCCTTCCCCTCAATAAAACTAGAAAAGGAGGGGTATAAAATCAGGAAAATATAATCAGTCTCTACTGTAGCTGGTTATGCCTTAAATAATAATAGGGTGATTCTGGTAGTAGCAGGCCTAAACGTGTCAAAGTATTAAAATTGACAATAACCTTTTTTCATTTTCATGTGAGATTAAGTTAGTGGAATGGGAGGCTATACTATTTTAAGTTCATATACCAAAAGTCTCAACGACGTTTATTGGTACTTACAATCACTTAACAAGAGGATAGCTAGTAGAAAGCAGCAGCACCTAACAAGAGGGATTGCTAGCAAGAAGTAGTAGCACCTAGCAAGAGGGATCGAGAAAAAATCATATTTTTTAAAAGGGAAAAATTTTCTCCTTTTAAAAGAGAAAAATTTTCTCATATTAGTGACTCATAGTATAAGTGGGTCCTATTTTGAAATTTTTTTTTTCTCCGCTATTTTGTAGACCCCACTTATATTATGAGTCACTAACATGAGAAAAATTTTCTCCTTTAAAATGAGAAAATGTTTTCCCTTTTTAAAATTAGTCTAAGAATTAAATTATTTTCTTTAAACCAGTTCAAAAATTGAATCGCTTTTTAAAATTGGTTCAACAAATCACTTTACCAACTTGGTTGGGTCCATTTTTTAGGAGTATGAAAAAATCAAATGAATTGAACTGAACTATAAACCGAACCGAATCGCATCATATTTTCTCGAACTAATTTAAGAATTAAATCATCGAATTCAAATCA